AAAAAAGAAAGAAAAGAAAAGAGCACCTAAAGTCAAATTGAATCAGCATGCAGTTTTGAAAAACAAATTGAATTAAATTGAATGAGAATTTTAAAGTAAAATGAGAAATTAACAATTGGTAGGTTGATGCAGGAGCCAAACCTTCTTGTCTGGCCACGAGTAAGTCTGTGGTTCTGTTTTGCCTTCGGATAATTTCGCTACACCTGGACCACTATTTCTCCCTATTGCACCCGTCGCAATGTATCGAGCTCCATCTGTTGGACAACTTGACCCCATTGAGAAGCTGATCCCGGTCCTTCGTGAAAGAATTAGCTTACTCCACTTGTTTGTGCCCCCAGAAATCCCTAATCACCCACAACTAATTTTCTCAATTTTTTTTTCCAACATAAATTAGTCGAGCAGTATTAAATTTAATGTTTTGCCCATCAAGTCATCAATGTTTTCGGCTTAGTTATGATTTGATAAATCAGAGAAAAACGAAGAAACTATATCGTTTATTTCTCAGCGACCTAACAGAATTCTCAGAAAGAGAAAGCATCTGAATACAAATAGAAAAAGCTACAGAAAGTGAAGAGAGCAGCACATACGGTTGAAGGGCACGAGTGCAGCCGAAGCAGAAGATGCCATCAATGCCATTCACGAGAAGAAAAAAAACCTGCTAGCGCAGTGGAAACTTAGAGTAGGCTCGGAGTTGGATCCACAAAATCCGCAAAAAGGAACCTTTATTAGAGAACCGTGTTAAAGAGCAACACGTGTTGTCCTTGTTTTCTGCGGTTTTTTTTTTTTTTAATGAAAAAATCGTGGTTCCTGCTTTGCCCAAGTTATAGTAATTGATTTTTTGATTTTTGATTTTTCTGCCGACGGCTTGATATCAAAGAGAAGGCTATAGGTTATATGCTAATTTTCAACCAAAAAAAAAAAAAAAAAAAAAAAAAAAAAAAAAAAAAAAAGAGAAGGCTTTAGGCTTTTTTTTGGTTAAAATATCAATTTGGTCCTTTAACTTTTAAATTTATATCAAAATTATCTTTTAACTTTAAAATACTAAAATGATCCCTAAACTTTAATTTTTATACCAAAATAGTCCTCAAACTTTGAAAATAATATTAATTTAGTCTTTAAACTTTAAAAACAAATACAAATATAGTTTTTAAAGTTTTATTACAAATACCAATTTGATTTTTTAACATTAATTATATATAATATAATTTGTGAATAAAAATATGTCACGATAGTAAAATATGATTATTTATTTTACATGTCATTAGTATTTAAAAAAATTAATTTTATAGTAAAACAATAAATTACGTGATATTTCTATTAAAAAAGGATTTTTTTGGTATTGAAAATCATAGTTTAAGAATAATTTAGTATTTTTTGAAGTTGATGGATAATTTTGATATAAATTTGAAAGTTAAGGGATCAAATTAGTATTTTAACCTTTTTTGAAATTTTAAAATTTGCTCTCAAATAAGAAAGTGTGGATAGATCAATACTTCAAAAAATAGAGACTAACTGCTCTTTTAAATTGTTAATTAAAATAAATTACTCACTATTTAACAATTATTATAGATTAGAAATCTATTTGTAATCTAAGTTTATTTTTAATGAAAAGTTAACATGTATATCATCACACGCTAAATAATAAATGATTGTCTTGATAGATAATTAAAAAGAATAATTTGTTGTTTTTTTCAAAGTCAAATTTATCTTCCCCCCATTTGGGAGCAAATTTAGGGGTTTAGTCTTCTTTTTTTTTTTTTAAAGGGAGAGGTTGATCGTTTAAATTATGGAAGAAGAAAGAGTGAAGGATGAAGAACAAGGAAAAGGGTGTCTATTTTTTAGTTACATACAAAGAGCTTTGATAGAGTCAATTCGGTCTACAACCTTGCTTGTAGAAAGGGAGTGGCATTTGTGGCCAGAACATAACAATAGTTGTTAGAGAAAAATTTAATAATGAAAATAAATATAAGAAAAAGATAATATCTACTATAGATTGAAATTAGAAATGGTGAATTAACAATTGAAATTGAAAAGTAAATTATAATAAAATTAATGGTAAATTTAAAAAATTTGATAATAAGAAAAAAATAACCAGAGATTGGATTTAGATCCAACAAGATAACAATTTGAATTGAAATTGAAAATAAATTTGATGAAATAGCAATTTGAAATTGAATTTATGGGTGAAAGAATTGAAATTGAAAATGATATTATAATCAAATTAATTGTAAATTTAAATTAAAAATATGATAAGATAACTTCTAAATCTTAAATAAGTAATATAATTTAAAGAGCTTTTTATCATATGATTCAAATTAGATTTAAGTAGAATTTTAAATTCAATTTATCTTGAAATTAAATTTTTAAGAGAAAAATAAAAAGAATTATCTCGACAATAATAAAATTTCAATATTTTTTTAGTCTTTTAGCCTTAGTGCATTTTGGGTCTTAAGGTGCAATTCAACCCCTCTAAATGTAATGTTGTGATAAATGACCCTTTCCAGTTTTACAATTGGCATCCTGCCCCCTCTAGTTATAAAACAAAGCAAGTGAGCCATTGTAGCTATGATGATGTCAGAGAATGTTAATAATCCATTAGTTGCAATGTGATTCCATTAATTGACTTATTAAAGTTTGCATCACATTAATCAATTGTAACACATCAAACATGTTTTAATAATAACACTTTGCATATCAACCTTTAATACGCCATTATGCCTAAGGACATCAATCTATATGTATGTTGTTGTGTGCAAAGATTATCCCCAAAAATGAAAAAGGAAGACTTGCATTATTCATCATCAATCTCACTATACCCAACAAGGTGCAATTTCTCCTCTCCCTTACACAACTCCATTGTGGTGTGCCTAGAGGTTTTAGTTATGAGATAATCCTACACTTTCTCAAATATTTGAAGAACCTTGACTAAGACATTCACTACTTCAATTAGATCAAACTTTTTTTTACCTTCCTATCAAATTGATTTTCTACCTTATATCTACATCTATTTAGGTCATTACTAAAAGTAATGAAGTAGGGATACCGTTCTCTCACCACCATTAGAAAAGGTCCATAAAAGTTTATGTGAATTAATTCCAATAAATCTATGGTTCTCTCACTTTTACCATTTAAAGGTGTTTTAGTGTTTTTTCCTTGTCAAAACTTATGACATTTTTTTTTGTAATAAACCCCTCAATATCCAAAAATCACATTAAACCTGGACTAATTCAAAGTTGAGTCATTTTAAACTCCATAAGGTGGGAAGTTCTCCTGTGCCTATCTCTTTATTTATAAGCCTTAAACACAAAATCGTGCTTAAAGGAAATCGAACTCCTTCCACTCTGACCAATAGATTGTCATTACATATAGCATGTATTAAAGGTGCTAAGTTAAATGATTTTAAGCACTAATTTGAAACTTGGCTTGACCTAGCCAATTCAACTGGTTTAATCAAAACTTGTTTTAAAAATGGGCTATGTTATGATAGCCTGATGGTAATCAAGCTCAATTAAATCTAATCAAATCTAGTCACATCAGCTCAAACTCAATTAACCCAAATTGGTTCATTTTTCTAATAGTTTTACTTTTTTTAACATATTTATTTAATTTTCCATATGTATTGTTTTATAAATTAATATAACAATAAAAGTGTAAAATCTATTTGTTGAGGAATGGATTTGTATTGCCTTGAAATTTATACTGTGTGCAATGCCATGTCAACAAGGGTCCATATGACTTTTTTTCAGATATGCTATTCACTATCTTTTATAAATAACTGCAATGAAGTCAACTGATGAGAACCCCAAAGAGAATAATGTGACCCACAGCACGACAAGGGATTTCTAAACTCCAGGAAAGCTAAATCAGGTTTATAATAGGACTTGACCCGTTGTTTATGTCACAACAAGAACCAAAGGTAAAAACCTTGACCCATTGTCTATGACACAACAATAACCAGAGGTATAAAGTTGGTTGACACCACACCCTCGAACGATTAAGAACGAGAATGATAAGTCAGGTTATAATGCCACAAGAATAATCATGATAAGTTTTGTAAAGTTTTGAAATGAACCAAAGAGAAAAGTCTCTCAAAATCTCAAATTCAATAGCCTTCTCCCCATTAGGGTTACAAGCCTTTTAAATAGAGAAAACAAATCCTAATTAGAATAGGAAATTAACACCCTAAGTCTTAAACCTAATAACCATGAATTGGGCTTCAAATAAGTGAATGTTCAGCCCAAAAATAATACAAAAAACGTGAAAATCACTAAAAATAACCTAAAATAACACGAAATATCAGTTTGCTACAAATTGCAGCAGAATTGTGCGATTTTGACGCAAACTATGTAATTCCGTGCAAATGACCTCAACTAAGCTTCTCTTGAACCTAAATGATATTTACCATGCCTTGATAATCATCCAAGCTTCAATTTGCTTGTTGTATGTTGTTGTCAACCCAGATCTGCTCAATAAGGCCATTTAAAGCTTCACGCATCGTCTTAGCTCTAGCTCGCGTGATTGGACCTCCTTGGGTGTGTAATGGATCACATGACATAGTAGATATGCTGTCGTCTTGATTCCCATCATTCCTTCTCTCCTCAAAAGGATTTGTCCTCAAAAGGATTTGTCCTCAAATCGTCACCTACATCAAAAGGAGAAAGATCAAAAACAATAAAAGTAGCACTAACATTATACTCACCAAGAAGCTCCAACTTGTATGCGTTGTCATTAATCCTCACAATCACTTGAAATCGTCCATTGCCTCTTGGTTGCAGCTTAGAACGCCTTTGTGCAGGGAATCGCTCCTTGCGCATATGCACCCAAACCCAATCTCCAGGTTCAAATACAACTTTCTTGCATCCTTTGTTGGCTTGCTTTGCATATTGCTCAGCTCGTCGCTCTATGTTTTGTCGCACCCTCTCATGCAGTTGCTTAACCACTTTAGCTTTCTTTTTCCCATCCACTCTAGCTTGTTCATCAATAGGTAAAGGCAATAAATCTAAAGGAGTGAGTGGATTAAAACTATACACAACTTCAAATGGTGAACAGTTAGTTGCTGAATGGACGCTCCGATTATAAGCAGATTCAACGTGCGACAAACACTCTTCCCAGTTCTTCAAGTTCTTCTGAATAATAGAACGCAATAAGGTTGACAACGTCCTATTAACCACTTCTGTTTGTCCATCAGTTTGTGGATGACAAGTAGTCGAAAACAGTAGCTTAGTTCCCAGCTTTCCCCACAATGTCTTCCAAAAGTAACTCAAGAACTTGACATTGCAATCAGAAACGATAGTCCTTGGAATGCCATGTAAACGAACAATGTCCTTGAAGAATAGATCCGCAATATTGGTTGCATTGTCAATTTTATGACATGGAATGAAGTGTGTCATCTTTGAGAACCTGTCAACAACAACTAAAATAGAATCGTGGCCTCTTTTTGACCTTGGTGAGCCCAAAACAAAATCCATAGATACATCAACCCAAGGTTCAATAGGTATGGGTAAAGGAGTATACAAACCATGTGGTAAAACTCTAGATTTTGCTTGTTTACATGTTATGCACCTTTCACAGATCCTTTCAACATCACGTTTCATGTGTGGCCAAAAGAAGTGATCATTTAGAATATCTAAAGTTTTCCTAACTCCAAAATGTCCCATTAAGCCTCCCGCATGAGATTCCCTTACTAACAATTCTCTTAAGGAACAGTTAGGCACACATAATTGATTTTATCTAAACAAGTACCCTTCATGCCTATAAAACTTATCAAAAGCAATCTTCTCACATGCATTAAACACGTTAGCAAAATCTGGATCATTAGCATATAATTCTTTAATGTGCTCAAAACCTAATAACTTTGCACTTAGGGTAGAGATAAGTGTGTACCAACGAGATAATGCATCAGCCACAATGTTTTCCTTTCCTTGCTTATACTTGATCACATAGGGAAACATCTCAAGGAATTCCACCCACTTAGCATGTCGTCTATTCAACTTACCTTGTCCCTTCAGGTGCTTCAACAACTCATGATCAGTATGTATCACGAACTCCTTAGGCCAAAGTTAATGCTGCCATGTCTCTAAAGCTCTTACCAATGCATACATCTCCTTGTCATAAGTAGGATAGTTAAGTGTTGCACCAGTCAATTTTTCACTAAAAAACACAATAGGTCAGTGCTCTTGCATCAAAACAATACCAATGCCAATACCTGATGCATCACATTCGATTTCAAAAGTTTTAGTAAAATCAGGTAAAGTAAGTAACAGTGCAAAAATTAAAATTTCCTTAATTAAATTGAAAGCATTCTCCTGTTCACTTTCCCACTTAAATCCAACACTTTTTTTTACAATTTCAGTTAACGGTGCTGCAATTGTGCTAAAATCCTTGATGAATCTCCGATAGAAACTCGCCAGACCATGAAAACTTCGCACCTTAGAAATATTTTTAGGTGTCGGCCATTCTTTAATAGCCTTAACCTTTTCTTCATCTATTGTGATTCCATCAGCTGAAACAACATACCCTAAAAAAACAATCTAATTTGTGCAAAAGGAACACTTTTTAAGGTTAGCAAACAACTTTTCTTTTCTCAACACCTCTAGTACCATTTGCACACGCTCAATATATTCAATTAAACTCTTGCTATATATCAGAATGTCATCAAAATAAACAACCACAAATTTGCCAATGAAAGCACGCAAAACATGATTAATTAATCGCATGAATGTACTAGGCGCATTAGTTAATCCAAATGGCATAACTAACCACTCATATAGACCATGTTTTGTTTTAAAGGCTGTTTTCCATTCATCTCCTTCCTTCATCCTAATCTGATGATATCCACTCTTTAAATCAATTTTAGAGAATATGCAAGAACCATGCAACTCATCTAACATGTCATCTAATCTAGGAATAGGGTGACGATACTTTACAGTGATTTTGTTGACCACACGTACGCCAAGTCCCATCCTTCTTAGGCACAAGTAGCATTGGAACTGCACATGGACTCATGCTTTCTCTCACATGTCCCTTTTTCATGAGTTCTTCGACCTGCCTTTGAAGTTCTTTCGTCTCATTGGGATTGCTTCGATATGCTGGTCGGTTTGGAATTGTTGCACTAGGAATGAAGTCGATTTGATGCTTGATTCCTCTTATTGGTGGTAAACCATTAGGAACGTCATCTGGAAACACATCCTTGAAATCTTGCAAAAGAGATTTAACAACACTAGGCAAAGAATCATTAAGTTCTTTAGTGTTGAAATAAGCATCTTTATACAGAAGCACAAACATAGGCTGCTTTGCAAAGAACGCAGCCTTGACATCACTTTCTTTTGCATAAACACTCACTGATTTTCTCTTTTTGTTTTCAACACTATCAATCTTTTCTCTCTTTTTGGACTCTTTTTTTGCTGTTTTCTCTTTGTTTTTCATACCCTCAAGCTCTCTCATTTCTTAGCTCACTCTCTTTTTTTACTCTCAGTTGATCCTCATAAACCTACCTTGGACTCAATGGTGCAAGAGTAATTGTTTTCCCCTCCATGACAAATGAATAGCGATTTTTGAAGCCATCATGTGTTACCCTCCTATCGTATTGCCATGGTCTCCCTAAAAGTAAATGTCCAGCATGCATAGGAACCACGTCACAAAGTACCTCATCCTTATATCGTCCAATAGAGAATGAAACCAGAACTTGCTTATTTACCTTGATTTCTCCACAATCATTTAACCATTGCAGCTTATATGGCCTTGGATGCTTCGTCATAGGTAAATTAACCTTTTCAACTAAAACAGTGCTAGCTACATTAGTACAACTACCACCATCAATAATCACACTGCATACCTTGTTTTTGACATGGCACCTCATGTGAAATATATTGTCACGTTGTACTTCATCATCTTCTTTGGCTTGCATATTCAAAGCTCGCCTAGTGGCAAGCAGTTCTCCATCAATGGCATATTCCACCTTCTTTTCCCACTCCAAAATACACATCTGTATCATTTTTGCCTTGAAATGGAGGAATCTTCATCTTGATGCCGCCTAAGTCATGATCTTGTCGATCTCCCCACCTTGCCAGATTTTGGCCTCCTTTGTTAAATCTATAGCTTTGACCCCCTCTACCTCTCATAAATCTGTCCATGCTAAAATTTGAGTTCTGGGCATCATCGTTGAATGCATCTTCATCATTGTCATCAAGATCGTGATTATGCAAATTTGGACTTCCATTCTGTATTTGGTATAACTTGGCAATGGCTGCATCTTGGTTCTCCACTTTGTCTTTAATTTCACCAAACATGATGTCTAGCCTCTGAAATTGTTATTGCATATTGAGCATGAAGGAATCATCCACTTGGTGTTTTCTGTCATCACCGCTTGACATGATTAAAACCTGCAAGGAATGTTAGAAATAGAAAATAAAAGGACCTCTCAACACTCCCTTATGTGTTTCACTCCACTCTCTCACAGAATGGCACTCAACGCTCAGTGTTTTGCACACTATAGAACTTGGCTTTTCTCTCAAGTATTGCTCACACCTCTTGCCTTTTTCCCTCACTCAACTTTCCTCTTTTAATTCATTATTGAACTAAACAAGCTCAATTCAAGTTATTTTGCAGCAACCTAACTCCAACAAATTTGCAAGAGTTAAATGAAACAAAAAGACACAAAGGAACAAACAAGAAAAGCAATAAAAGAACCAAACCCAAACAAATTAAAACGAACAGAGTTCAAGCACTTCATAGTAGGAATTGACTTGACTATTCCTTAATGCAGTAGGATTCCTAACTTAGGAAGGAATAAACAAAATTACTATCTCCTTGTTTGAATAGAACTCAAAGAGAATTTCCAACTTCTTATTGGAGTAGGATTCCTTCTTCTTTACGGATTTGGCCATAGATTTCTTCTCTATATAAGGAATTCCAACCACAGAATTGTGT